AACTGTCACTACTTTCACGATTTTAGACTTTAAATTGATACCAAAAGACTTTTACATCTGCAATTGTACTTAAAATGATCTTTCTCAGAACTTCAAATGGCATGAATAACATATTAACACTGATAGTAAACAACACACTGATAAATGAAATGGAGAATAACGAACTTGACCTGTTACTATGTAAACTAAATGAAATTAGGGATTTAGCATCTCCAACTGGAATTTCCTTAACTCGAATTTTCTCCAAGTTGAAGGTTTTTATGGTCTGACACTAATTATGTTATTTTGAAGTTCCGAAAGTACATATTACTGGATAATATTAATGAATGTTCTACTCAGTAACCAGCAAAAGAACCATTTTCATTAAAAAGGCCTGAAGATGTCCTTTAAAAAAACCAAGAAAACATTTTCAGGCTGATGTTCTAAATTGGAATCGTACAATCTTTGAATGGATCTTAATCTCTACATTGCAGTTACTGTCACTGATTGGTAAAAATGTAAATATCATATTGTGCGGTTATGATATTTCTACTGAATGGATATATATTTTCCACAGGCTCAGTATTGTCTTATTTCCTTTATAGTCGATGGATTTTTTTTTTTTTGCAATTACCTTGTAAATTTACATTAACTCCAGATATTTGATATATCATCTATCTGCTGTTCTACGTAGGATATTTGTCCAATATAAATGAACTTACACATACAGGTCTCTACACTGGCGTAGCTACAAATTCAGTGCCCTGGAGCAAGTAGAGTCAATGCGCCCCTAGTTTCTCGGACGAGGTCTCGTAAACTTTGTTTTGAACATTTAATTTAAAAAATATCTTAATTATTTTGATTTAAAACTTTACTCAATAATAATTTATTTGAGATTCAAGACATTTCAATAATAAGATAATCAATTTAATAAATGCAAACATAATAATAAAACAAAATATAATTCTTTAAGTACAGAATACCTAATAATAATTACTACATATTAAAAAAAAAACTGTTTTGACAAAACGTATCCAAGTTTAGTTTAATAACAAATACATAATAGCGAAGTTGCGGACAAAGTGAAACGGCACTCGACGTTCGATGTTGACGTTTTAGAGATGAAAACTTTGGCTGCAACCTCGCTAATATTACATAAAAAAAGTTTCAAAATTGTTGTTTTTTTTTTGCTTTTTCATTTGCAAATCGGTCAATTACTTTCTCCAAATCAAGTTGACAAGCTATTGTCAACTTGATTTTCAATTGATATAGTTGACAAAGAGCTAAGACGGTGTTGTGACATGCTGCTTCTTAGTTTAAATACGTTTTGATTAATTTCAGTTTTGAAAAACTTCGTTCTGCTGTCGCTGTTGTCACCGGTAAAGTTAAAAAATGAGGCATGCTGCAATAATGTCGGAGAAGCCACTTGAGGCTGCAGTGTGAATTAAACTTAGTTTGGCAACTTCGCGTATAGAGGTTTAAGTGAGTATTAAAACACATTTTAAATCGAAGCAATTGAGGTCCAAAACTAGACAAAATGTTGGAGGAATATGCCGATTGTAACAATTCTGATTTTTCCAGTATACTTTTTATCAGATGACGCGACAAGATACGCTGGTGATGAGCACTTAAAAAGTGTACATAATTCGCGAATGGATTCAAATCTAGTAGTTAATTGATTAATTATTAAATCCATTACTTTATAAAACACATTGACTTTGAAACATTGTTCACTGTTTTCAATGCGCTCATCTACTTGTAATCATCAAAGAAATTTTTCACATGATACAATCTTTTTTGAAAAAAAGAAGGTTCAATATTCCATGTAGCTGATAACTCAAAGACGTCGTTTTTAACAAACTCCCAATTATTCTTTAAGTCCCGGAATTGGGTTAGGAGTGATGAAAGCATCTCAACGAATTTCTCTATATCTTCATGAGCACTTTGCAGCATTTTCGAGACTGTATTTTACTTTGTATTATTATCAAAATAATAGTTGAAAATTATTCAAAATAATTAATCAAATTTTTAGCTTCACGTTGCTCATCATAATTGTTTTCATTTAATGATAAATATGTCAATATTTTAATTATAACAAAATAACGAGAACGTAGTGCATCAAGAGCATTAATATGGGAAGACCATCGTGTTGGACAAACTGTTTTCAATGTTTTTGCTAAGTTGGTTTGATTCGTTTCCATTAACTTTGCCCAATGCCTAACAGAACTGAAAAAAAACAAAAATTTTTTCTAGCTGTTCATAAAATTACTGAATTCTTGTACCTTGGTGACACTGTCGTTGATAAATTCAAATTATGAGAACAGCAATGTACAAATTTTTGTACATTGCTGTTCTCATAATTTGCAGCGGGGTTTTGTTGTTTAATTCTTGCTTTAACCCCAAGTAGGTACCATACACATTCGCAGCCATGTCGTAACCTTGACTATGCAATTTTGATAGATCGGTGAAATTTTCAATACATTTTGAAACTGTTGTTTCTAATCCTTGTGATATTTGATCAGTAACCTAAATAAAATCCACGAAACGTTTCTTTTATTTGCAGCTCGATTGGATTTTTTTATTAAAACATAACGGAATACGATACTTAGCTGATCGAGTTTTAATAGATCTTGTGTTGTATCTGTTATTACTGTTATGAGAGTGGCCTCTTCCATTTCACTTTTAATTTGGACGTTAATTTCATGTGCAATCAAATTAATTCATTCATTTTGTATATCTGGACTCAAGTAATTGGTACCGCCTTTGGGTTTCTTTAATAGATCTGGTAAAACATCATCATAGCGAGAAAGTAATTTATTTATTTCTAGAAAGTTTCCTTGTGAAGTTCCTACATCTTGAAGATCTGTAATCCTATGATATTGGAAAAGTAAATTATTTATAGCAAGTGTTATAGTTACATCTACTATACGTTGCAACATTTTGCGCCAATAATTTACTGCATTGTTGATTTCTTGCTGACTAACATCTATGGTTGAACCACTTTTCCATTAGTCAGGAAAGGAGTAAACAAGTGAATAAAATACTTAGCCGGTTTTAGAGATAAGAGGTTCGTTTTGTCTAAAAGCCAGGTGTGTGTGACTAATAAATCTACAAAGTTCAGCGAATTTCTATAAATTAATTACAGTGGAACCTCGGTATACGACCTTAATCCGTTCCCGATGTTTGGACTTATACCAAATACATAGAATGTATACCAAACCAACCTTTCCCATAAGAAGTAATGTAAAAATGATTAATCCGTTCTCATGTAATAAAAATGGCTGTCTTTAAACACCTCGCTTTCCTGGCTAGTTCCTGCTTGATTTTTCATGAGATCAGCATGTATCTTTTTAGCTTTTTCGCAAATAATTGCTTCCGATACGCTGTCTCCAGCACACTGTTTTTCAGTTATCCAAAGCAAAAGCAATTTCACAACATGATCATGATCTAATGTCTTCGATCTCTGTTTAGAAATTGATTTAACTCTTTTCGCAACGTTAGCGTTAGCAGATTTAATAATGTCTTTATTTTTCACGATTGTCGATATTGTCGTTCTCGGAATACGGTATGCAACAGTTAAAATCTCGAACACGCATGCCACCTTCATATTTCTGAACAATCTCTTTTTTCAGTTCCATTGTGATTCTAGTCATTTTTTTAGTTTTCTGTTGCTTTTCATTTGCCTTTTTGCAATTCATGATTAATAAAATTTTACTTACAAATTAAAATGAGAAGAAATTTAACAAAGTTATAAAACTGCGGCACTGCGAACGTCTAGTCTGGTCTAGTACACCAATAGTGCTACTTGTTCATAGATGGCGCGTATACTTGAATTAAGTCGTATACCGAACAAAATTTGTTTCGTCCAAACAGGACTTATTCCGAATTGGACGTATTCTAAAGCAGACGTATACCGAGGTACCACTGTACTTTTGTTTTGTTCGAAAATTTTGAAATTTTATTATAATTTTTTTACAAATGTTTTTACAAGTTTTTATTTCGCGTTCCTAATTTGGCACCCTCATGATATATGTGCCTGGAGCAGTTTGCTCCAACTGCTTCACAGTAGCTATGCCTCTGGGTCTCTAGCATATGCTGATAAGATGATGGTTAATAGGTCTTTAGATATGTTTTTCCTTTAGGTGGGTGGCAATGTTCCTTCTAATTTTTTTTTGTAGATGAGCGGAACATATATTTCTCTGAGCAAACAAATTTTTGCTGAGCAGATTCTGAGCAAAAATTTTTCTGAGCATATATATATATATACGAACTATTATCTTTTGTCAATGATTTAATATATTTAATTGAAATATATATATCAATAATCATGTCATAGATGGTGTGAGAAATCAGTAAACAATTCAAATCAGTGTGCATGCCCTGCTTCCCTGCACAAATTCTCGTGCGCAGCAATAATTTGAGAAGTGNATTTTTTCCTATAAAAATTAAAATAATTTATTATAAAGTAGAATTAAAACATACTTTTATACGAACTATTATCTTTTGTCAATGATTTAATGTACAGTATTTAATCGAAATATACGCAGCAATAATCATGTTGTAGACAGAGTAAGAAATAAGTAAACAACAATTCAAATCAGTGTACATGCTCGCCTGCGCGACACATAAATTCTCGTGTGTGGCAACAATTTGAGCAGTGTGCGGCCGCGCAGCTTAGAGGAAACATTGGTGGGTGGTTGTGCGCTGGGTCCTATGTATTGTAATTCTTTCTTGGATCTATGGTTCATAAGGGGGATGGAATATACCTCATCAGATCTTTGGCATTTCTAATTAGATTAAATATGGATGGGCTTTTTGTGTTTTGAAAGCCATGTTGATGTAGTTGTGGGCTATTTCTCTGTATAGAGGAGCCTCCTGGTAATGCTTTGCAGTGTCAGGCAGCACTTTGTGCTAATAAAAAAAAATATTATATATATATAGGATAGAGGAACTAATGTCGCATTATACTTTACCACCTTATATGTATCCACAGTAGGTTGAGCGCTAGAGGTGTTATGCCCATGCATAGCATGATGTTCAATGAATCCCTTTATGATCTTAACAAATCCATGATTGACTGCTTGGTTTATAATGTTGGCAAATTCTTGTTTTTCTTACTTCAGATCTGATCTGATATGTATGCGAGGATTATGGAGCCAGCTATGGGGGCTTCTACTTGGGCTTTTGGATACAGGGGGATAAAATGCATGCATTTTTTCCTCCGTGTTAAATTATTTTATGCAATAATTGTAATTTAAGTTATCGACTAAAACCATTTATTCACATTACATTACACAATCTTTTGGGATATGATTTGCACTTAATTTTTAAAAGTATAATATTGAAATGATTTTCAAAAATTTGTGGTATTCTTATTCACAAAAAATTTACAACATTCACATTATATTAATTTTAATTTATTGGTAGTTAAAGAATGTAAATTATATGTTTTTATCTTCATGAATAGGTGCATAGATAGACACAGGGCATTTCTACATCATCTTTATTCGGAATATCCTATAGGCCGATACACGTTTCTGGCATAAGCCCCTCATCTGTCGGCATGACTTCCGGGATTTCTTGTAGGTGGTGTCGACACGTATACATTCCGTTTAAAATTACTTATTTACAGTTAAAATATCATTATAGTTTAAAATATACTTACGATTAAAAGTACTATTACAGTTAAGGTTTCTCGACTTAATATTGAACATCCTTAAGAATACACAAATGTAAATTATAATTTTTTAAAAATATCTATATATTTTTAAAGAACATTTTCACAATAATAATAAAAATAAAAAAATATAAGACAAAAATATATTCATTTTTTCATATTCTTATTTTAAACATGAAATTATATTATATGAAATATGTTTACAACTAAAAAGAAATGTTTTATAATGAATTATGAGGGGAAAATATTACAGAAGATAATTACACTCATGCTAAGTTAATTACACTGGTCAGCTTTTGACGTCTTGAATAAGGGAAGTAGAATGGTTATGAAGGGTTTTGAATCCAAAAGTTAATTTTAATTAATGAATTATTATAAAAGGGCAAAAAAATCAATGCATGACATGCGGCAAGGAATTTCTTCGTAAAAAATATCTGAAAAAACACATGAATGTAGTCTTCGAAAAAAAGTGGAAAGACAAATTTTTATGACAAACGGATACATAAATCGTAAATTTAAGGAAAATAAATTCTAGAGCTTTTTCTGTACCTCGCGCATCTCTCTCATTCATTAAATTTTGTTGCAAATGATGCTACCAAAGTAACAGTTAATTTTTTAACAATATACAAGAATTGTACACGTTTTTTTCTACATCCCCTTGTAGATGGGCTATATGAAATCGTAATATCACTGGTTTAACATTGAAATCCGTAAGTAATATAAGATGGGAGAGCGGAATAAAAATATCAAATATTTTAATGAATTTTTTAAAACTCCTGTCAACTATACAGAACTATCATAAAAACATACCAGTAAATTCTTATCGTTTGGGTTAAGTTATAAATGTACTCGCGATTCACAAAAAGCCGGATGCACACGTACGAAGCGGCAAGGAAAAGCGGTGTCGCGAACACATCTTCGCCGTGTTGGCACACGACCACGCAAGCGGCAAACGTCAATCTCTCTACATTTCGGCGCATGCGCAAAATATTCAAGATGGCGGGTGATTCAAATTTTCCTGCTGCTGCTCATGTTTACGAATTTCGTTTTGTACACATCACTTTATGAGTCTAGAAGACGTTGAGGTAAATGTAGCAAATAAAATAGCAGTTAATGTTGAATATAAAAATATTTACAATTATGAAACTATCCGTACGTTTCTATATTCAACGGTTGACTCAACGGTGAGAGAACAACGTTTCTAAATGGACGTCATCGTTGTTTCACCGTTGAGCTCAACGGTCTCGACGACCTGAAAGACCGTTGAGTATTCAACAAACTAAGATGGCGGCTTCCATGAAAAAGTAAATTTTGCTTATAGAAACTATCCATTCGCTGCTGTAGATGCTGTAATAGAGGACAGATTAATGAACTTGTATGTGTAATCGATGGAGAGTGGATTAGACTGTTAAAAATTAGCAAGAAAAGGTCCCCTATTGTCCAGTTTTACATGAACAAATTATGTCGACTTTACAAGATTTTTCCTTAGTTTTAAAATGCTAGTAATTTTTTCAGAACAATGTGTGCATTTACTTGTGATCAAACAAAATAAGATTATAATTGTATTAATAAATCTAATTTTTTTTTATTTTGATCTTTAAAGTCGCATCTCATCCTATATGCGAGTCGTTTTATATTCGAGTAAATATGGTAATAACCATTCTTCTGCTTTAAGATATGTCACTATAATCATTTGCATTTCTTTGTCTTTCGTTATATCAAACCATAGATTTATGTACTCAAAAAATTTTATGGATTATTTTATGTATGTAATAACTTATGAAAACAATTTTAATATGGAAACTCATTTTATATTTATTTTATTAATTTACTTTAATGTGTATTATAAACTAAATATAGTTTAAGGATTTATATGAAACAAATTTTTTTTATTATTTAGGGAATGGAATTATTTAATCACACTGCAACATTCAAACCTGAAAGTGATTTTCCTCTTACTCTTCAGTATCTAGATAGTTTAAAATCATTAACTGATCATAAATACTTTAAATCAACATCACAAAAAGATAAAGAATTAAAAATGTTATCACCAGTTGTCCACGTACAGTCAGATTGCAATACACCATCTGAAAGAGATGCTTACGTCAAAGAATTAATGAAATATATCAAAATTGATTCTTATGGAAAATGTCTGCATAATAAGGATTTACCTAAAAGGTAATTTTATTTTATTTTTTTATTTTAAAAATTTAATTTAATTGATCATACTCCTTACTGATCATATTTAGTGCACAATAATAGTAATGTGAAAATTCAGAAAACTATACAGGATATCCATAATTTATTCATCTGATTATGAAACTCAATAGAGGAAAAAGTAAAAGACGTTAAGCTGTAACCAGCTGTCTTTCTGTTTCTCTAGTGAGTGGTAAAGAGAGAGAGCATTATTAGTCAGACAAGCAAAAATTAGGGACTCTATTAGAATGGTGTGCAATAGTTGGTAATGATTCTGAGATTGAGTTTAAAACATAATTATAAAAATATTAAGTAGACAATAATGTCTACTTAATATTTCTCTACACTAAACAGCTGATATAATGCCTAGCAAATAAATATGAATAATATTTTTTGCAATCATCATAGAATTCTTTAAAATAATCCATAAGAATTAAGTTGTCACAGATTGTATAAACTGTAATCATAATTTAAATGATCAATGACTTTACTGTGTGAACTTTGAGAAAAGGCTCATTTTTATTTTTACTTTTGTGGTTCTGTCATATATAACAGAACGAAATTACAGCAATCAGTCAATAAATGATCCCCCCTAAGATTTTTACATTTTTGGATTCTGGACCTTGAAATGTTAAGAAATGAAAAAAAAAAAAACTTTGGGAGGTTTTCTATATGTATGGATGTGGTGGGGCACAATTTTGTTCACCCTCTTTGAAGCTTAATAACTTCTGTGTTTTTTCTAAAATGTCTGAAGTTATGCCGAGAGGTTTGTATATTAGGAGATTAACCACCAAAATTTAACAGCCTCAAAGGTCAAGGAAGTTTGTGTGTCATATCTTGAGTAGGGTCGGACTTAATGACTGTTTTACTTATTATTAGAATTCACAACTTTTTATAAAACTATCCCTTCCCTCAGAATTATTATAAAATAGCAAAAATCTTAAAAATATAATATGATATTATGTTAAAAAAATTTTTATAACAGATGGCACCACATGCAGTTTTAAATGTTGCTGGGAAAGTTAAGCAACTCTTTGCTAGATTTTTTGGGTTAGCTTTTAGTTCCAAGGCTAAAGTAGAACATTCAAAATTTCAAGAATGATTGTTACTTAGTGGTAAAATGTCACTAACTTTTAAGTTTTTACAATAGTTCTTTCAACTGATAAACAGAAAATTGAGTAAATTATTTTTTTCCCTCGTCCTCTGAGCACTAAGAACTCCTTTTTTTCCATACCCATCATGTATTCAGTCAGGCTTACAATTAGGTTGACTGCCTGGTATGAGAGATCCAACATATCCAGGACTTACTGCCCATGAAAAATTCCTGCAGTTGTTCCTTGTTCATCACAATTTGATTCTAGGTTTCCCATGGTAGGGTGATTTTTAACTGCCTTGGCCATCTGGTTATCTGAATAAACATCATATACAAACACTTATACTATAAGTATTAACCCATCACATGCTGTATATACAGTAGACCCCCTATAACACGGGCTCATATAACACGGCAAAAAATTGCCATCGTGTTCATATAACATGCTAAAAGAGACTTGTATAACACGGTAAAATGTCATCGCCGACTTGTATTGCGACAGGATTGGTCGAATCTGGACCAATAATGGACATTGCACAAACCGTTGAGTTCAAATGAGCAGCGGACCTACTAAAAACCATTTATTATTTAACGGCTATAAAAATTATATTTATATTAATGTTGTCTCTAAAGTTCAGTGAATTTTTTGCAGAAAAATAACTTATCAGGAAACATGTGCCCGCCATTTGATGAGCCTCTCCGCAACGAAAACAAGCTTAAGCAATGGTGTCGTCGAACGGCGCGCACTTGGTAAATAATCCTACAATTTTTTGTTTATAGCATAGTTTATTTGGATTATTCCCAAAAAATTATATGTGTTTTGGAAATGTTGAGTCAAATTAGTCTAGAATCGATTAATTTTATGGAAGAAAACCATTCAAACAGTCGTAGTCCGTAACCTGCACATGTTCTGGGCTGTGATTGGCTCATGTATTTAAGTGACTCGTACAACACGGAATTCGTATAACATGGAATGTATCTACGTGTGATAGGGGGATCTACTGTACTTTAATTATTCCAAAATGACAATGTAGAATCTCAAATTTGTCTAAAACAAATACTAACTTTCATCAATTTCATAAATGAATGTCTTACAAACGAAGTCTTCAGCTACAGTAATAATGAGAAAATTACTTTTGTATTTATCAATACAATATTGATTATATTCTAAATGTCTTTGTCAAGTTTTAAAAGCTTTTCTATAAGATTGACTGACATAAATTGGATATATTCATTATATATTATAATCTCTAAAAATATATATATTTTTTATTTTATTGCAAGTTTTTTGATTCATTTATAATATAAAGAGCATAAAAAAAACTATATTGCATGAGTGTTGGGAACAACCTGCATTTATTGTAGTATGACTTAAAAACTTCAATTTGTTGTTTGCTTAAATATCATGCATTCATTTATTATTTCATGTTTAAATGACAAAATCGTTTTTAAAACTTTCGAAAAATACTTCTTGTAATATACTATCTCATATGTCAAATATAAATGTTTTCATAAATACAGTAGAACCTCGATTATCTGGACTAATTAGGGATGAAGGTAGTCTGGATAAGGAAAAATCCGGATAATCGAAACAAATAATTTGTCTTTTAATGATAATACAACACGTTTTCTTTTCGATGANATCTGTAAGCACAATGGTAAGTAAAAACTTTCATTTATTTGCATATTATACTGTACTTTGTTTATCAAACACACAAAAGTCTTGCTTTTCTATATGTGCAATATGCTCCAGGTGATAAAGTTGGCTTGACGTAGATCAACCGCACAGCTCACTTAATATGCCAGGACGTCCTAAAGGCATTTGAAGTGGACTGGCCCGATTTGATCCTTAATAGGGGTGAGGAAATTGAGCCAGAGGGACTTACGCCTGCTGTCAAGCATGATACAGGCTGACAATACTAATCGATCATCGCTTGTCTAAGCGTGCGTAACATTGGCCGTTTTTATTTTAAAATTGTAAATTTGCCGCCACTGATTATCAGAAATTATGGGTCTATCTTTTATTTTCATACTTTTCTTCCTTTATAACATTTTATTTACTATTTTTAAACATTTAATTTTTTTGTAATTAGGGTCTACTGTATTTTCAATATAAAATAGTTTTTAATAAAATGTTATTAATGTTTGTTCTAACAATTACAGCGTACCTTTATTTTATTTTAATTAAGTTCCATTATTTTTATAGTATTTAAGATTTATTTTGGGTATTAACAAAATTTCTACAGAAAAATACTATATTTTTATATTTAAACAAATGATAAAAATGAATTGATAGAATTTCTATACAAGCTATAATATTAAAAAAGGAAATTCAAACTGGAAATTAAATTAATTCAAAAATATCCCAAACAACCTTTTCACTCTCCAGCACAATTATTTAATTAATGAGTGGACAATCTGTGAAGCAATTTGAAAACATTCATCCACTCATTAATTAAATAATTGTACTGAAAAGTGAAAAGATTGTTTGTAGAATATTTATATATTTCATAATCAGGGTTATTGTTTTTTTAACTATTAGGCACACTAGGATGATCCACCACTTCTAATGACGGCACGCCACTACTATATGCACAATTCATGGAAAAGAAGAATCAAATTAATGCCTAGTCTGATTCGTCTTGAAAAAGCAATTTTTTAAACTCAATACAGCAGTAAATTTAGCCCAATTATTTATTGTAATCCATCGCGAAAACGTGTACATCGGACATTCAGCGTCGTCTTCCTGTAAGCCTACAAGTTTGACAATGTTGTTTGGAACGTCGAGGATGATTCTGTAAGGAACCAAGTCCGAACGTTATTTTTATTTACTTTTATTTTGCTTATTATTCTATTTTTGTTTGGGGCTTATGTTTTGTTAGGACGAAGTTTCCTCACCATTCACCTTAGTAACTTAAAAATAGAAGAAAAACCAACTCACCAACGAAAGAAAAGCGCCGTAGAAAACTCGCGCACACTTGCGCTTCCCAAGCGGAAAAAAGTAAGTCCGCACCGAGAAAAAGGGGGGGGAGACCCCACAACCCAGTTAGGAATCGCTAAACCTTAAAA